ATTTGGCTCCATCCATCTTCCCATCAATTTTAGCCATCTTCCCTGTCCCTGCTGAAGAAAAGCAGGCCCAAACCATGATGCTGCCACCACCATGTTTGACAGTGGGGATGGTGTGTTCAGGGTGATGAGCTGTGTTGCTTTTACGCCAAACATATCGTTTTGCATTGTGGCCAAAAAGTTCGATTTTGGTTTCATCTGACCAGAGCACCTTCTTCCACATGTTTGGTGTGTCTCCCAGGTGGCTTGTGGCAAACTTTAAACAAGACTTTTTATGGATATCTTTGAGAAATGGCTTTCTTCTTGCCACTCTTCCATAAAGGCCAGATTTGTGATTGTTGTCCTATGGACAGACTCTCCCACCTCAGCTGTAGTTATCTGCAGTTCACCCAGAGTGATCATGGGCCTCTTGGCTGCATCTCTGATCAGTCTTCTCCTTTTTTGAGATGAAAGTTTGGAGGGACGGCCGGGTCTTGGTAGATTTGCAGTGGTCTGATACTCCTTCCATTTCAATATAATTGCTTGCACAGTGCTCCTTGAGATGTTTAAAGCTTGGGAAATCTTTTGGCATCCAAATCCGGCTTTAAACTTCTCCACAACAGTATCTCGGACCTGCCTGGTGTGTTCCTTTGTCTTCATGGTTCTCTCTGCGCTTTAAACAGAACCCTGAGACTATCAAAGAGCAGGTGCATTTATACGGAGACTTGATTACACACAGGTGCATTCTATTTATCATCATCAGTCATTTAGGACAACATTGGATCGTTCAAAGATCCTCACTGAACTTCTGGAGTGAGTTTGCTGCACTGAAAGTAAAGGGGCCGAATAATATTGCACGCCCCACTTTTCAGTTTTTTATTTGTTAAAAAAGTTTAAATTATCCAATACATTTTGCTCCACTTCACGATTGTGTCCCACTTGTTGTTGATTGATGACAAAAAATTAAAATGGTATATCTTTATGTTTGAAGCCTGAAATGTGGCAAAATGTTGAACGGTTCAAGGGGGCCGAATACTTTCGCAAGGCACTGTATATATGGCTAGGCTGAAGTGATGCCCCGCTTGGCTGTAGCAGTAGCTGTAACTCTGGTGTCATCCATGGCTGTTGATTATCAAGGACAGAGATTTTCTTCCATAATGTAACTGTGACAATGTGCAGTGGGATTCTTCTAGATCTAGTCACACAGCACACTCATATTTGACCATTTTTATTCAGTGAAATGGAAAAGCAAGTATTTTTTATCATATAAACTAATCAGCGATAGCAGAGAGCACATTCCTGACCTGCTAATTACAAAGGGGATTCATTCAAATGTAAATTAGTTTGATGTTGCTCTGTCAGATCACTTCTGTGTATGTGTTAACGTATGTTGCTAGTAAACCACCAGTGAATGCTGCAGTTGTTTAAGAAGACCCATAAATGAAAAAATGGATTGCATTTTGTCACCTCCAGTGTTTTGAATGATCTGTACACCATCATCCCTGTGAAGGTTAAAATAGAAAAAAATAGTCCATGACGCAGAACGCGTCATGGACAAAAGCTGACTCAATCAGGGCACAGAAGCGAGAGTTCTGGGGGCCGAGCAAAAAATGGTGCAAGTCCAACCTCCAGCTTAATTATGAGATAATGAAAAATAAGCTGTGCAAGTTTCATTGGGTGCTACGTAGAACAAGAGGAATATATTTTTTTTCTGAAATTATTGAAGACTGCATTAACAACTTACATTTTTTATCAACAGTTTATAGATTAACAAACCCCCCTGTTCAGTTGCCATGAGAACTAACTTCTAAATGTAATGAGTTTGCATAACAGTCAGATCCCGTCAGACCTCTGAAGCTAAGCAGGGCAGGGCCTGGCTATTACTGTGATAGGAGACCACTGGGAACGCCAGGTGCCACAGTGAGGCGGCTGTGGCTGTAAAGTGCCGAACTGTTTGTTGCATCCTAAGTCAAGACACTTCATCAACATTGTCCAGAATGGTTGGTGGTAGTCGGAGGAGCCGATGGCATATAGTGGTTGCCTCATTTCTGTCAGTGTGCCCCATGGCAGCTATGGCTACATTAGGAGTTTTTCACCACTTTGTATGAAGTGAAAGAGTAATGGCTGTATTAAACTGATGGATTATTGTTAATAAAACTTAAATGCCATGAAGTCTGCACCAGTAGAGGCTAAAACTGTCAAAGAGATCATCTCCAGTCTGATCTCCTCCACATGCAGCCTGCATGTTACTAACCTTCTACAGCACTGTCATCCCCAACCAGGCATGGTCTGATTCACAGTTACATCTTCTGAAACAGAAATGAGTAATTGGATATAGATCTCTGAATCAGGCCAGTTGAATTTGCTTCAGTGGATGAGGATTGACCAGGAGACTCAGTGTTCCATCCCAGTGCTGTATCCACTCACCCACAATGAATACATCTAAAACCAAGGCGTTAGAACTCAGAATTTTTCCAAGGCTCATAATGCCCAAGCACAAACCTTTGGTCTGGTTGCTGTGTGGGTCCAGTGAGCAAGACAAGCTGAAGTGAATGGTTGGACATGAAGCCTCTAAGACTCTCTTCATCTTGTATTTTTACATTTAAGTGCTATTGTGTCATGAGACCAAGATGTAAAGAGAGAATCCAGTCATTTTTCAAAACAAATGAGAGGTAAACAGATAATTAAAAAGTACTGGCGTCTTTAAATCTGTTGTCCTTTTAATAGACCCTTCTAAGCATAATACAAAGCATCATTCAAATTTGGATAATCAAAAAAGTGAATTTCGTCTTGTACCAGGCTGTCATTCCGTCTGGAGATTGAGGATCACTGATGAAGAGTGCGTTGGATATTTCTGAAAATTAACATGTTCAAAAAAATACATACCATGCTGAAGAGTTAATTTTCCCGGTGGATTGACCTTCTCCACCTGCTCCCACTGATGTCTGCTGTCGTTGTGTCCTTGGGCAAGACACTTAACCCCACTTTGCCTGAAGCCCTTGCTGAAAGATCTGCCATCCTGTGGACTCAGCACCTGTAAATGGATCAGTGAGGCGCTTTTGGTTGGCAGCTGTTTGCCAACCCTCTGACCCAGAAATGGACAGAATGTTGATTTGTGAAAATATGTCATATTGTATTCCATATTATTTGTTATTGGCAGTACTTTTGAAAGTATTTGCTCAAGAATGGGTGAAATGTGGTTTGTATAGGACTAAAATATGTCTGACTTTTTTATAGCCCACTTGGTAAAGAGCAGATGTAAGTAAGTATTTTCAATACTTTTCTATTGTCACTTGTGTTCTGTTTTTAGCAAAGAAACTGTTATCATCATCATTGCTTATACAGGCCGATCTGAGTGCTGCGGCTGCTCATTATACAAATGCACTTTTGTGTGATCTGTGGGGGACAGGGAGTAATTGGGGTTATGGGGAGGTGGTCCTGGTGCAGATGTCTCATTGGATTTGAGCCCCAGCATCTGCCCAGTCCCCACACAGTCTGTGGCCCTTTTCCCTACAATGTCACTTGCTGATTTTACTTTTATATCACATCAGTTTGCCTTTACATTTCATTCCCATCTGGTGTATAAATGAAATAGGGAGAGAAAATTCAACTCATTATTGAAAGAGACCGAGAAAAAAGCCTACACATTCTTGAGCTATAACTGAAACATAAGAGAAACTTGAGTCATTACCAATGGGGGCGGGTCTCGGCTCAAAAATGTCCTTGTGCACGTGCGCAGACATGCTTGCAATCATGGCGTACCTGGAAACAGAAATATCCATTGAATTCTAATGACGTCTTTTATTCTCTTGAAAACGTCTGATGATTCAACAGTCTGAGGATAACAGCTTGAAAGCAGAGCATTTAGACAAACAGGGCAGGGGGACATGTTTAAGTATATTTTTGCCAGAAGTTCTTGATTAGTAATAAATAACAATAATAAATGTGTGTTCAACAAGCGATATATATATATGGATATATATAATATATATATAACCAATATATTCATTGTGGTGTAAACCCAGGGCAATAGTAGTTTGTACAAGTAGTCACATTTTCAGAAGTGAAGCAACTATTTGTGCAAACACCAGAATCATACGAGCCACTGTGGATGAAATGTCTTGCCTAACAACACAACAACAGTTTGGCACTATACAGCCACCCCAGTGTGGAACCTGGTGTTCCCAGAGGTCTCCCATCACAGTACCAAGCAGGCCCTGCCATTCATAGCTTCTGATATCAAAAGTCTGGTATCAAGCTTACACATGTTCTAAGAATATACTAAGAACTATTCAAAGAATAATAAACATTTTTTTTCAAATAAAAAATAGACACTCATCAGACTAATACAAGGCAATGTGGGTGAAGTGCCCTGCCTAAGGACACAACAACAGTTTGGCACTCGTAGTGTGGCAGCCGGTATTCCCAGACGTCTCCCATCACAGTACTAACCAGGCCCTGTCCGGTTTAGCTTCTGGGATCTCACGAGATCTGACTTTGCCAGCAGGTAATGACAGAGATGGGTAGCTGAAGTTGGCTAAATGACACAGTGAACTATGATCTCTATGGTGCTTTGGGTGATCATGGCTGGAGGATTTTACCTCTGGGGCCTGTTTTGGGTGGTTGGAATCCGGAGCACCTGAAGGAAACCCACAAAGCAAACAACATCTCTTTAGAATTTGCTCTCCTTTTCCATCTTTACGCAGCACAAACTAAAGCACACGGTTCTTCAGTTCAACAAGCTTCTCCACTTTTGCTGCTTTTGTCCCCACTTCATCTCAACGCAATCTCAGTCCATAACCAGTGATTTTGTGCTCTACAGCAGAATCAATGGTTGATGACTGCCATTTAAATTGCACCAGCTCTTATGCAGCGGCCTCTTTGAATAGAAATAAATGTAGCTCGGGACTTCCGGGTAGCGAGCGACCACGATGGATGACTAGTTAAGCGCTCCCGACAGCAAAGTTGGTAAAATCCCCCCCAATTCAAGACCACCGTGCCTTGTTACTCGAATTTAGACTGGAATGCGTGGGGGTGTGAAGACTAGAAGTCGTAGAAAACGAGAACCGCAACAAAACGGGCAGAAAATGGCAGAAACGGAACAAGGTGATGGAGCAGAAAATGTTAGCTCGATGCTAAGAGCTATAAAGACGGATCTGCAAGAGTTCCGCGTTGAAAACAAGAATGACTTTCGGAACATGAAAGAGGAGCTGAGAAACGACATGAAAGCTGAGCTGGCGTTGCTGAAAGGTGAAGTTTATCAAAGTATATCTGAAAATACTGAGAAGGCTAACGCTCTCGAGATCAAGCTAGCTGAAGCGGAGGCACGTATCGCGGACGCGGAGAAATTGAACGCAGCCATGAAGGATGCATTGACGAAAGTGATGAAAAACCAAATGATTGTGCAAAGTAAGCTGACGGACATTGAAGGGAGGTCAAGAAGAAATAACATTTGGATATATGGTGTCAAAGAAGGATCAGAAAGTGATTCGATGCTACAGTTCATGGACGGATTGCTGAAGAAAACACTTTCACTGCCACAGGACATGAATCTGCGAATGCAGCGAGCCCACAGAGCACTGACCCGAAAGCCAGAAGGAGATGCGCCACCCAGGTCAATAATCATAAACTTTCAGGAATACACACTCAAAGAAGATATCTTGAAAAGGGCCTGGGCACAAAGAATAATGCATGATGGGCAGCGCATATCATTCGACCACGATTACGCGACAGACGTGGTGCAGAAGCGCAGAGAATATGGAAACATTAAGCGGGCTTTGAAAGAGAAAAGCGTTCGTTTCCAAACGCCGCTGGATAAAATACGAATACACTGGGACACGGGAGCACGTACCTACGGCAGCGCGCGGGAAGCGGCAATCGAGATGAGAAGAAGAGGATACGTGGTGCCGGTACCGGAGCGTAACCCAGCGGAGCTGAGTCCTGAACTGGAGCGTTTGTCTCAAGCTACGGAGTGGCAGAGAACCGGCATATAACAAGTTGAGAGGGCTGCGAAAGGGATGGATAAGGACGCTCCTTTCACGGTGAGAGAGGAGATTGTCTTCCTGCTCAATGGTGTGAATCTATTTAACCGACTTCAATCTATTCTAAATCACTTGCTGTGGGGTGAAGGTAACGTTACGTTGGACTCTGGATGCGTGAGACACGTCTCACATCCTGTGAGGGGCCTTCTGTGAAGAGATTTTCCCCTCAGCCTTCCAACCGGGACATGGGGTGTAAAGGATTCACCCCAATTTGGGAGTCCTATTTTTCCTTTTATTTTTATTTGACAGACTGTTTTTGGCCAAATGTTCAGGTCACTGTTACTTTTAGTTGTCTGGTAAGTTTAACATTTCCACTGTGCAGATATTATGCCTTTTAACAATATAAAACTGGTTTCTTTGAATGTAAATGGTTTAAATAATCCAATCAAACGAAGTAAAGTTTTGGCTAAACTAAGAAAAGAAAATGCTCAAATTATTTTCATGCAGGAGACTCACTTGCCTTCACACGAGCATGAAAAACTAAAGAGATTTGGCTACAAAAACATGTATTATAGCTCATATAAACAAAGTCAAAAAAGAGGAGTAGCCATTTTGATTGCAAACACAGTTCAGTTTGAAATGTATAAAGAGGTAGCGGATAAAGAGGGTAGGTATGTGCTGATTAAGGGTAAATTGGAGAACAAACTCATCACATTGGTTAATATCTATGCTCCACCAGAAAGTAATTCAAGTTTTCTTAAAATGGTATTCAACATAGTTGCACGGGAGTCTGAAGGTTTGGTGTTGTGTGGAGGGGACTTCAATGTCGTGTTGAACCGCAGTATTGATACAACTAGCATTAAAAAATCTAAACATCGTATGACAAATGTAATGAATACAATAATACAGGAATTGGGAATGATTGACATTTGGAGGACACTTAATCCGCATGTTAGAGACTATACACATTATTCTGCTGCTCATGCAGTTTACTCAAGAATTGACTACTTCTTAATTAATGCAGAGGAAGCTCACAATGTCACAGACTGCAAGATTGGTGTGACAGATGTTTCGGATCATAGTATGATTAGTTTGGAAATTAATCTAAATAACAGGAAAATAAATACAGCATGGAGGCTTAATGTGGGTATTTTGAACCGGGAGGAGTATGTTAAAAAGATTAAGGAGGAAATTCTGGAGTACATAGAACACAATGATACGGGGGACGTGAACCCAGTGATTCTTTGGGATGCTCTGAAGGCAGTATTACGAGGGAAACTAATTGCTCTCACAGCTGCACAAAAACGAGATAGGCTTGCTACCTATAAGAACAAGACCAAAATACTTAAAACCTTGGAGGAAGAACATAAACTAACTGGCAATCAAAGCATTTTACAAAAAATAATAAATATTAGGAAAGAAATAGATGAAATTCTTGGAGTAGAAGTAGAAAGGAAAGCAAGATTTACCAAACAAACCTATTATGAATCTGGCCCAAAAGCAGCTAAAATGTTAGCAAGACGTCTGCGTAAACAACAAGCATCAATGGCTATTAACAAAATAAGAAATATTAATAACAATAGATTACACAATACACCATACGAGATAGAAAATGAGTTCAAGAAATATTATGTAGGGTTGTATTCTCAACCACCAGCTGCTGATAGTGAAACAATCAGGACCTTTCTTGAGTCGCTGGATCTGCCTTCAATAGGAGAAAACCAAAATAATACAATTACATCACAGATCACAGACAAAGAACTAGAAGTTGCTATTAGCAAGCAAAAAAATTGTAAGTCACCAGGTAGCGATGGTTTTCAGTCTGAATTTTATCAATCAATCAATCAATCAACTTTATTTGTATGGCGCCTTTCCAACACAAGGCCACTCAAAGCGCCTCACAACCCACATAATATCACACAAATCAGAGACATCGATAAATACATTAAAAACAGAATAAAATCACAAATAATGGAAAAAAAAAAAAAAAAAAAAAAAAAAACTTAAAATATTAAAAGCACACACGGGATTAAAATAATAAATAACCACAATGCATTAAAAAAAAAAAGAGTATGTATCAATAAAATCCTTCAGCCGTATGCACAGCTAAAAAGAACAGTTTTTAGCCCTGATTTAAAAATTGCCAGAGTAGATGCTAGCCTCACATCTTCAGGAAGATTGTTCCAGATTTTAGCTCCATAAATCTCAAACGCTGCCTCCCCATGTTTAGTTCTGACTCTTGGAACCAGTAAGAGGCTACCTCCTGTGCTCCTCAGAGTCCGGGTCGGTTCATATGGGACTAACAAGTCGCTTAAGTACCCTGGTGCGAGGCCATGGAGAGACTTGTACACAAGCAGTGCTGCTTTGAAGTCTATTCTCTGAGCCACAGGAAGCCAGTGCAGAGACCTGAGAACTGGACTAATGTGGTCATATTTCCTGGTCCTGGTCAGGACTCGAGCTGCAGCATTTTGGACATACTGCAGTTGTTTTACAGCCTGTTTGGAGAGACCTGTGAGCAGGCCATTGCAGTAGTCTAACCTACTGGAGACAAATGCATGGATGAGAATCTCCAGATCTGATTTAGACACTATGTTTCTAATTTTGGCAATGTTTTTCAGATGGTAAAATGCTGCTGATGTTACTGATTTGATATGACTGTTAAAATTTAAGTCTGAGTCCATTATAACTCCTAGGTTTCTGACCTTGCCTACAGGTTCCAGGGAGAGAGACTGGAGGTGACGAATAACGCTCTCTCTCTTTGTTTCTGAGGACCAAAGACAATCAATTCTGTTTTGTCTGCGTTTAGCTGAAGGAAGTTATTTTGCATCCAATCACTAATCTGTTGAGTACAGTGAAGGAGTGATTCCACTGGTCCATGTTCTCCTGCAGTAAGTGAGACATAAATTTGAGTGTCATCAGCGTAATTGTGGTAGGATACATTGTTGGAGCGTATTAACTGACCTAACGGCAGCATGTAAATATTGAACAGAAGAGGCCCCAGAATTGATCCCTGTGGCACTCCGCAGGTCAGAGCCATATGATCTGAGACACAGTTTCCTATCTGAACCAAGTATTTCCTGTCTTCTAGGTAAGACCTAAGCCAACTTAGGGCAGTCCCAGTGACACCCACCCAGTGCTCTAGTCTCTGCATGAGGATCTCGTGGTCGACTGTGTCGAACGCAGCACTCAGATCCAACATTACTAAAACTGTGACTTTTCCTGTGTCGGTGTTAAGTCGGATGTCATTTGTAACCTTCACTAGTGCAGTCTCAGTGCTGTGATTGGCTCTAAAGCCGGACTGGAGCGCATCAAACGAACTATTAGTTACTAAGAATTCTGTAAGTTGTTGGTAAGCAACTTTTTCCAGAATTTTTCCCATAAACGGCAGATTTGAAATGGGGCGATAATTCTTAAGAACTGTGGCATCTAGACTCCTCTTTTTTAGGAGGGGTCTGATGACTGCCGTTTTCAGGGCCATTGGAAATGTTCCAGATGAGAAAGACATGTTCACTATTTGTGTGAGCAAAGGTAAAAGACTGCTCAAAACAGACTTAAAAAATTTAGTGGGTAGTACATCCAGGCTACATGTGGAGGAACTAAGGCTAGAGACAACATCTTGGACAGTTTCATTATCTGTTGGTGCAAAGTGCGATAGCTCAAACAGCCTCACCGGCTGTTGTAATGTTATTTCTGCCTTGGAGGTGATGGCGTTTTTGATGCTCTGAACCTTGTCATTGAAAAATTGTGCAAACTCATTACATTTAGATTCTGAAGCAAATTCGAATGGCAGCTGAACAGGGGGGTTTGTTAATCCGTTAACTGTTGAAAACATAAGTCGTAGATTATTATTGCAGCCATCAATGGTTTTAGAAAAATAAATTTCTCTTGTTCTACGTAGCACCCTGTTAAACTTGCACAACTCATTTTTGAAGATATCATGATCAACCTGGAGATTGGATTTTCGCCACTTCCGCTCGGCCCTACGGCACTCTCTCTTCTGTACCATGACTGAGTCCATTTTAGTCCAGGGGGCCTTTGGCTTATTTGTAATCATTTTAACCTTCACAGGAGCGATGATGTCCAGAACATTTATAACATTGGCGGTGACAGAGTTAAACAATTCGTCAACAGTAGAACACAATGTGTTCTCAAAGTTTATCATTCCCATGAATAGTTCGGTTGTGTTTTCATTTATGTGTCTGTGTCTGACAATTGCAGATTCAGATATATATGGTTGTTTACTATCAAAACACATGTCAAAAAATACACAGAAGTGATCTGACAGAGCCACGTCAACCACATTTACATTTAAAATATTAACCCCCTTTGTAACCAGCAGGTCTAGAGTGTGCCCTTTGCTGTGGGTGGGGCCACTCACGTGCTGAGTGAGACCAAATGTTTCAAGTACAGAACTCAGCTCTTTTGCATTTTTGTCATTGCCATTATCCACATGAATATTAAAATCACCTGTAATCACTAAACTATCAAAATCGGTGCAAACTGAAAGCAACTCAGTGAAATTATCAAAGAAATTGTGACAAGACTGCGGTGGCTTGTACAGGACAATGATAAGAATAGAAGGAGATTGTTTTTGTTCTATTTTAAAAGAAATATACTCAAATGATAGAAAATTTCCAAGGAGAATTCTATGAGAGATAATACGATCTCTAAATAATGCAGCAATGCCTCCCCCCCTTTTATTTTCTCGTATTTCAGATTCAAATTTGAAGTTTGGTGGCGTTGCTTCTATTAAAACCGCATTACCTGTACTCTGGTCAAGCCAAGTTTCAGTCAGAAACATAAAATCAAGATCATAAGAACGGATAAAATTATTAATTAAAAATGATTTGTTGCACAGTGATCTGACATTAAGCATAGCAATTTTAAAATTAATATCAGTAACAGTGGGTTTAGTTAATTGATTTTTACAAGGAGCAGGAATTAGATTTGAATGTCTAACTGCTGTCCTTCTGTTATGATTTTGTTTTCCATTCAAATAAAAACATTTTTTG